GTGTAGGTCAAGTTCATCAAATTGTATGAGAATACTGTTTTTTTTTTCCCTCTTCTTTTTACTTCTGTGTATCAGATCTTTTGAAAGTGATGTAAGACGTAGTTGACTGGGTCAGCTGGCATAGATACAACTCCTTGACCACACACCTGTGTAGCAAAGTGCTCTGCTCTCCTGAGAAATAGTCTAAGGAAACTTTACTAATAGAATCCGTCAAACAATGCTGTACTTGGGAAGTTACTGAAAAACTGCTGATGTCCTTCCGATTTTACCTGTGCCAGACCCTGCCCTCCTCTGCCTCAAGGTGGGTGGTGTGCCTAGCCTGGGTCCAGAGTGGGCGGGAACTGAAAATTCCACCCACCAGTCTGGACCTCAACCCCCAGGAATGGTCTCCAGACTTATCAAAGCTGACAGCTTGCTCAGGACAAGACACATCAATAACCCGGAAACACTTTGCACATTTGATCATCAACTTCCTGAAGCCCAGATATCCTTTCTGTCTCCTTTATCTGGTCAAATGGATCCTTGGGGAAGCTGACTTGGGGTGCTAGGGGAGGCTTTCTGGGGTAGGGCAGGACTCTGCTGTGATGTGGACACGAGTGTGTTAGTAGGAGAGGAACTGCCATGGGCATGTTTGCAGTCAGACTGAGGTTGGGAAAGGGATCGGCAATACCTACTGGCTTAAGCTAAAGCTGCTCTCAACTCAACAGCTCTTGGCCCACAGAGCACAATTGTGCAGACTCCTTAGGTTCACAACTGTAGAAGTGCCACCCAGCTACAGTGAGGTTCTTCTCAGGAGAGAGTTAAGTCCACCTTGATTACTTTTGTGAGTCTCTATGGACCTGGGCCTTGGAACAATTTTCTCGATTTTACCATCTTTCCACTCGCCCTCAAATTAGTTGTTACATGCTCCCAAGGAATAACTTGAAATTACTTTTTAGATTTACTAAACAATTTCTTAATGGAATACTAAATCTAAGTTTCAACAATATCTGTTACTTTATATATGACCACCCACCGATACTATTTCTTCTTGTTTTGGTGACTCTCAGGGCCATGAATGCTTTCTCATATGATTCAAGGTCACTGCAACCAAACCTTGACAATACAAGTCACCCCTCTATGCCCTCGCCATCCTTCCTGACACAATGACAATGGACCCAACCTTTTCAGAGAGTTTCTCTCTAAATCTAAGTAAGCTACTTGATGAATTTATCACAAGAATTCTCTCTTCCGCTTGCTGTTATATCGTTAACCATAGGAAAACTTGAATTCCTAAATTCTACATGTGAGGAATGGAAATTCCTGAACACTTCATTGTGCTCACGCAGAGCCTGTAAAGAGACCAAAAGGCCGTTGTTTGAACGGTTTAAATTCCTGGTTTAAAATCAGGAAAGGGGTGCCTTGGAGTTGTATCCTTTCAGCATACTGTTCAATCTGCTGTGTGTGAGCAAATAATCTGAGTTTCTGGACTCTTACGAATTTGTCATTGGAACTGGAAGAAGGCTCATTAACAACCTGTGATACGCAGATGACACAATCTTGCTTGCTGAGAGCCAAGAGGACATGAAGCACTTGCTGATGAAGATCAAACACAGCCTTCAGTAAGGATTACAACTTAAGGTACAACAAAAATCCTCACAACTGGACCATAATAAACAGAAAAGACTGAAGTTACCAAGGATTTCATTGAACTTGGATTCACAATCAATGCTCATGGAAGCAGCAATCAAGTGCTATATTGCCCCAGGGATATCTGCTTCAAAAGACCTCTTTTAAAGTGTTAAAAAGTTAAAAAGTCACTTGTGAGGACTAAGGTGTGCCTGACCCAAGCCGTGATATTTTCCATCACCTCCTATACATGTGAGGTTGGATAATGAATGAGGGACCAGAGAAGAATTGATGCTTTTGGATCATGGTGTTGAAGAATACTAAAAGCACCAAGAACCAACAAACCAGTCTTGGAAAAAGTACAGCCAGAATGCTCCCTGGAAGGAAAGACGGCAAGACTTGGACTAATGTGCTTCAGACATGGTATCAGAGTGACCAGTTCCTGGAGAAGAACATTGTGATTGGTATAAAGTGTGAGTGTTAGAGGAAGACGCGCCACAAGACAGATTTACAGCAGCTACAATGGGCTCAAACCTAAGCATGGTGAGGAGGGCCCAGGGTTGGGCAGTGTCTCATTGTTGGACATGGAACCACTGTGGGGTCAGAGCTGCCTGGACACCACCTCGTAACAACAGCACATGTCAATCCAACAGAGCCAATAAAAATAAACCAAAGAATTCTTATGTTTTGTTTTCTTTTTATCTTCTAAAATAACTTCAACCGTTTGTAAGGAGCCTAATAGTACAGTACTTTGAAGCGGTGACAAAATTCCAATGCCATCACAAGGACAGACGCTCCCGGTAGAGCTGCGGAAGCTGAGGCAGGCCCTGTAGTTTAGACTCGTTCTTCATTTACCGTGTGAGAGACTCCTGGCTGAACAAGGAACTTGGGTGTCCTTACGCTAATCCCTGCACCGCACTTGAATCATGCAGACTGTCAAAGCATCTTTAATATTCTATTTCGTAAAGGCTTGTTAAGCACATAGAAAAAATTGATGAATTAACTTTTGGGTTTCTTGTAGAGCGCCTGAATTCCAGAAACGTGTAAGTTCTCCGGTGACTTTGATGGGTTCTCTGTGTGATTCATAAGCAGAGAAGCCAACTTATTCACGCAGCAGCCTCTCCTGAGTCTAAGAATATTCTGGGAACGTTCTCGTACTGATGTTGCCCTAATAGTATCTCATGGTGTCATTCTGCACATGGGCCCTGTGGGTATATAGGCAAATCCATAGCAGCTAATTTAGGGAAACATTACACACCAGATGTGAAGGTGAGGGGCGGTTGTGTGGGACCACAGTTGGTGTCCAGCCAAAGGCTCCACAATGTACACTTCCCAAGGACAAGGTTATAACCTTGCCTGTCACCACGGGACAGGGTGATCCGCCTCCGTTCCAGAGCCCTTGCCTCGTTTCCCAGATGGTTCAGCTGAAAGAGCAGAGGCTGGCTCTGCTGTACTCAGCATTGCTGAGTCGGAACTGACTAGACAACACTGACCAGTCACCCCACCTCGCTTCATATTCTATGCAAGTCCCGAGTTTCAGACACACATGGGATGCAGCTCACACTGTCGTTGTTGAGCTGTGTAGTCGGTTCTGACTCATAGCAACCCTGTACAGGGTTTCCGAGGCTGTAAATCTTTACAGGAGCAGAAAGCCTCATCTTTCTCCCGTGGAACAGCTGGTAGTTTTGAACTGCTGACCTTGCAGTTCGCAGCCCGATTCATAACCACTACGCTACCAGAGCTCACACTGAACGTGATAAAAACCTCTGTGGGACAATCTCCCGGTGTGCCTTTCCCTGAAGCCTGGAGGTGGGTGGTGAGTGAGGGGCAGAGCCAAGGGAAGTAGAGGTGGGATAGGACATCTCCTTTCCTGTCCACTGATGCTCCAAAGCTTTTGGGGGAGCAGTGGCAGCAGGAAGAGTAAAGCAGGGGGTCCCAGTGTGACCAATTTAACCTCACCAAGTGGTAGGCCTCTAGACAGGTGCTTGGGAAATAAGCAGCCTTCTCCTAGCTTCGTCACCCCTGACTTTGCACCTTTCTCCCTACCTCTGCTCCTATAAAGATGTGCTTTCGAATGGGCGTTCTGTTTGAGCCCCGGGAGAGCAGGGAACAGAGAACCGCAACCAAAGGACAATGACGACGACAGCCCATGCTGGAAGAAGCTCGGCCCCCATTTCAGTCCTTTCCTTTTTGGTAAAGGCTCCCTTCGCGTCCCATTCCCCACCCCCCGGTGCTAGAAATGAACTGCCAACCTCGTGAAATGCCAACCTCGGCTCCCTGTAACTGCAGAGCTCCCGGCCAGGTCCAGGCAGGAGAAGCACTACCGTCCACTCACTGAGGCCATGGGGGCCCAGCTGTGGCCGGGCAGCATTGTGCATGTGTCAGAAGAAGCTCGCCAGGCACCTGTGGGTGGACGTGAGCCATCTGCAGCACAACGGGGCTCTGGCAGGGCGGGTGGGGACCCTCGTGAAAGTGCCTCTGGCCACCCACCTCCACCTCCATCCCCAGAAAGCAGAGCGCAGCGTGATGACAATTTTGTAACAAATTTAATAGAAGAGGGTGAGGGTCACTCCTCATTCAGGTAAGCACACGGGTGCGGGCGCTGAGACTCCTCAGAATTAACAACTCACTTCACAGATTCCTGTGTTGCCGTTTTACTTTCAAACCAACACCCCAATGATTCCATCTTCTTCCTTGCCCATCATTTCTGCAACTGAACAAGTGACACATTTGGAGAGACTCTTAGGATCTTTGCAGATTGACACACGGCTGAGGAGTCATGAGTGGGAATGAGAACTCCAGAGCTCTGCGCTGCACTTGGGCACCAGGCAGCTAGGAGAGACCAGCAGAAGGGCAGCCTGTGTCCCTGCCGGGCACCAGCGTCTTGTGGCAGTGAGCGTTGTGCCCGGGAGCACCTGCGCTGCCCTCACTTTTGCTCTTGCTTTTCATCCAAGAGGGCGGAGCAGATGCCCAGCTTTTTCAGCTCTTCCACCAGGTCCCCAGTCTGGTGCATCTGCAGGAGAATGTCGCAGCCACCCACAAACTCCCCGTTGAGGAACACCTGCGGGATAGTGGGCCAGTTGGAGTAGTCTTTAATGCCTGTGGGGGGAGAAAGATATGGTAAACATCGTTGAGGTGGCCAAGCACAGCACTGGGGAAACGAGACAGTCCCCACCCACCACTTCCCCTGAGAAGGACACAAGCTTCAGCGTCAGTGGGACCGACGCAGTGTGGACTCGGGTCATGAGTGCAAGGTGGGGCTCACAGCCACAATGATGGCCGGGCAGGAAAAAAAAAAAAAAAGAGAGGCAAGCCATATTCTCCTCCTATCTGACGATCTCAACTTCAGTGAATGGAACTTAAAAAACACCCAGAGCCTCCTTTCCATGTGGATTTCCACGGGCCCCTCGAGGTCTCTCCTGGGCACTCTGCTGTCCAACCATGCACATCCCCACGAGGATTGGTGACTGCCACCTGCTACCTATATGCAAGAGGCTGAATCATGGGTGCCCTCTATCCGTGTCACCTGTACTCAGACTCAACTCCGTCCTCTGGGTAAGGACCCAAGCCCTCAACCCAGTCTGCCACAGTGGGCAGGACAGGTGGCCCAGGACGAACACCAGGGCCTGGGGCGCTGAGACACATCCCAGGGCTGAGACACACCCCAGGGCTGAGACACACTCCTGGCTCTCAGGAGCTCGGTCCCCTCAAAGCATCCAAGGAGAGCTCTGAGAGGAGACATGCACTGTGACGGGCAGACACTGGCTGCTCCACTCAGTCCTCGGGGTCACAAGGGTGCTGTTGCCAGTGAAGACCAAGATAAAGAGGCCAACGCTCTCCCAGCACCCAGCCCTCCCACCACCCTACTCCCCCGTGTCTACTGACATGAAAGGCATTTTGGAAAACCTGTCCCACCAACAAATAGTCTGTATTTATTCCAATCATTAATCACTGTCTATTTGTAATGATATTCATTTGTAATGATGCTCGCTGAAAATGAGGAGGACTTGAAACATTTACTTATGAAGATCAAAGAGCACAGCCTTCGATATGGATTACGTCTCAATGTCAAGAAAACAAAAATCCTCACCACTGGACCAATAAACAACATTCTTATCAATGGAGAA